CTATGCACCCTGAAATCACTGCTTCCATGCTCAGGGAGTTGGGATTTCCAGCAGAACTTTGGTCCTTGCTTCGCCTTGGCTGGGGACAGCAGTGGCGTTGGCTCCAGTGGGAGCGACACACCCATGACCAAGGGTTGCTTGCTCAACAAGCTACACCGCAAGGTTGCCCCCTGGCTCCATTTATTCTGGGACTTTGGATGACAGCAGGTTGGCAGAAGGTTGAACAAGACATGCGTGACAATGGGTTTCCTTCGACTACGTCCTGTATTTACATGGATGATCGCAGTTTTGTGTGTCCTACTTTGGCTGCTGCAGATGCTCAGGTGGCTTACTGGAATCACTGGAGCCAGTCTGTGGGGCTCCGTGAAAACCAGCAGAAAATTCAGGCAACAGCAAAAGGTCGCACGCAGCGTGCTGCGCTGGCCCAGGCTCATCCGGACTGGTTCAAGGAAGAAGTGCACATTTTGGGATGTTCCACAACCAGCACCGGCCGCAGGAAGAACACACAGCAGGAAATTGACCGCTTGAAGAAAGCCAAGGCCCGTGCATTCTTGATTGACTGTGCTAGGCCCAACTTCGCTAACTTGGTTGGTCACACTCATCGACTGGTGGTGCCGTTGTGCTCCTATGGTTGGATCAGCAAGAAGCCTACTAAGGATGACTCGGACAGCTTGTTCAAGAAATTGACTTCAGCTACACACAGTTGTCGCATGGCCAATGAGAACATTCGCAAGATTTGTTACGGAGCTGCAGTGCATTTGGACGTGGTTTGGGCCACCCGTATGTTTCGCGCAGTCATCCGACTTCGGCAGTCTGGTTGTGCTTGGCAGAACAAAGCAGCTACTTGTGTTGGTTTGTTGCGACGCTGGCTTGTGAACAATGGCTGGGCTGAGGTGGGCCCTTGGTCTTGGCACAACGGTCGTGAACGTCTGTGCGCCGAGGTCTCGCAACAGCAGCCTGTTGCTCTTGCTTTGCATAACATCCGTCAGCAGTGGAGACGGCAGCAGTTCATTCTTTGGTTGCGTGGCAAAAGACACGAAGCACATTTCCTTTTGGCGCAATACTCTGAACAGCAGCTCCTTGGCTTCTTTGATGGGGTGGACTGGGAGGCTACACGTTTAGCTTTATTGCATGGTTCAGCAGCAGAACGTTCAGTTATCCTTGGAGCGGTGGTCTCGCCGTTGTGGCTCCATCGCAGTGGCAAAGCAAATGAGTCGGGGCATTGCCCCTGGTGTGATGATGTGTCGGGTCATTGGATGCATCTCGCTTGGTATTGCAATAGCATGTCACCTGCAGGCCCTGTGCCTACGAATCCTTTGTTGGCTCGTTTTGGCTGGCAACTTCACGGCAGGCAGCAGTACAGTGCTTCGTGTTTGCATTGGCTTGGGCAGGTGCAGCAGGAGCTCTGGCTTGCCCGGTTCGGGCAAGCGAACTAAGGTTTGACTTTGGCCTCTTCGGGGGCCGCTGCGGGTGCCGCCCGGGGTTCAAGGCCTACGGCATCCCTATCCAACCAACTACACAATAGATATACATATAGAGAGAGAGAGAGAGACCTTCTGTTTCAGGCAAGTACAAAAGATTTGAAGCCATTTTGATGAGAACACCAAGCCGGAAGACTGTCCACAAGCAACCATGCAAACTTACAGTTTGACAACAAACAAATCCCAGCAACTTCCAGCAAATCTGCTTAGAATTGAACCCTGAGGACTCCTTTGGGGAAAGCATGTCACCCTGCGTCACGCATGACTCGTTTCAGTCCTTCTGTTCCCCACGGTAGCAGCAAATGCCATCGGTGTCCTGGATGTGGGGGGGATCCAATGCTTCGTGGTTTGCTATCCCTGTTGAATCCCGGTTGAATCCCTTGATTTGGAAACCCTATGTTATCTGAGGGGCTCCCTAAAACAGCTCATCATTGTGGAGCATCATCCCAGTTCTAGGTGGAACATCGAAAAAACAAGTGACGCCAACAAAATCATTTCCAATAGTTTCTTCTTCGAAACTTAAGGTGGGACCATTGCCCTCGTCTTGGTGGCTCAGTTTTCGATCCTTTTTGTTGGCCTATTTGGTGAAATCTGCTTTGGTGGCTGAAATCCTGGTTCTGGTGGTTGAAATCACCACTCGCTCCCATTTCGGCCAGTAAAATCGGCTTTGTTTTAACCTATATATATATATGTATGTATGTAACTCGTATTTATTTATATAAATAAATATATATATATACACACATAAAACAAAAAAAACTTTACATTTACGTATCAATATATATATATACACCATAAATATATATATATGTTGCTCACTGAATTGATAGTGAAAATCACAACCGGAAACCAGTAGAGTTTTCTCATCAAATATAGGGGGTTCCTGTCAAAAAAGTTCCATGAAACTTGAAACAAACAATTTCTATTGGCTGGAATCCAGTAGCTCCTCCGGGGCCATGTACTCAGGCACTTCGCGGCCGTGGCTGTTTTCTTCAATCACAAAATGCCTGGACAGTAGGAACTTCACCAGGACAAAAAGGCCACGGAAACGTTTCATGAGATATACTGTACTTCCAACAATATGAAATGTATAAATAAATTCAAATGGAGATATGTGTAAAACATCGCAATATTGTATACAATTGAATGCATTTTCTGAAAATGATGGGATATAATGGGATATGATGGGATATGATGGGATCACAGGACGCACTTACCATGTGGGGCCTCCAGTTGATGGACTTTCTGGCTAAACAACTCCAATCCCTGTTGGAACTATGGTGGGTATAATCATTCCAGTTAAGTGGATCACTAAATATTTACGTCTAGACGGACATAGATCTATCACACACGCGCACACACATAGTATGTAGTGTACAATGTGGCCCCCTCAATCTATGATATAAAGAATGGACACATCACCAATATAACCTTAGGAATTGTAGCTAGCGGCTAGCTTACTATCTATAGGGGGCCTGCTTTGTATGTAAGAAATTGACGCATTGTGCATATGTGCGCATGGGGCAAAACAAAGTCTAAGGCCTACCCTCTGTCAATGCATCCTAAGAAGCCAAGGTACCCGGATGGAGGGCTGGAACACCCAGTTCTTGGTTGAACCATTCAATCCCCGTTTGTGTTCTTCCATATCCCCAAATGCATCTCAATTTTTGGGGTTCCTACAAAGTGTGCCCCCTCCCCAGCCAGTATGCTGGTTAAGTTTCAGAGCGAGCCCCATTTCAATCCTTTAAATCCACGTACAATATCATCAGTTCACTCTACAACCCCACGATCCACCAGCAGAAGCCGCACGTCCCTTTAGAAAAATCGGTCCAGGTGGCGAGTTGTAGCCAGCGCGGCACCATTCACCCTGGCAACCATGGCCTGAATACACGCAGCCCAGTTTCGGAGATGCGGGGCCCTGTTGATAGCTCTCTGCTATGACAAATCTAGTAATAAACCACCAATTTGAGAATGGTAAACATAACAAACCATCTATTTATCGTGAATTTGCGGATTTGTTATTGTTTTACCAACATTATTTGCGCTTGATATATCTACACTTGAATGAGTGAATCTAGAATAATCTAAACCAGGACATCCCAGGACAGCTTTGAGGATGATGGCTTATAAGCGAATCAACTCCTGCCATACGACTTTTCCGAAATCATGTTTCGATTTCAATCCACATATCATGTATCTACCCCTATGGGGTACCTTGCAAGAATTGGCTGAACCCAACCTCAACCCCCATCCTTCGAGCCAGGAGGCAAGCAATCGGGTCACGACTGCAAACCTGACGTGCCGAATCTGGCCGACGGACATGAAATCATTGGGGAGATTTTATGGTTTCCATAGTCACGGGGGTACTTTAACAGCTGGATGGTTTATCATGGAAAATCCGAAAATAACATGGGTGATTTAGGGGCAGCCATATTTTAGGAAACCCCCCATAATATGCTGATAAACCACAATAAACCATGATGAACCATGATAAATGACTGTCGTGAACCTTGGGTAGCATGGTGGGTAGCCCAGTTACAAACAAACCCATGTTTAATTAAAGGGTGTTCCCTTAGGACAGTTATACTATGTTGTACTTAAGCTTACACAGATATACCATGTTATACTTGATAGCGGAATATGGTGATCACGCATTTTTAGGGGGTCCAACCGAATTGTTGGAAGGATTGCCCCTGTCGATATTGAAACCCTGACCACTCTGAAACCCTGACATAGGAATCCTTTATTAAAATTGGCACCAATTTAAAAGCTCGGCAACAAATGGTCGAACGTTTAAAAGCTGAAACATGCTGAAACCACCAACTATATCAGTATGCATGCGTCTGGCATAGCAGCATAGCCAGCAAACACAATATATAATTAATGTAGGACAGGAAATGGTAACAACCCCGTTGAAACAAACCGACCCTCCGATATGGCAACAGGTTTCCATCCAGGAGTTGTTTTGCCCCACACGACTTTTCAATTTCAGTCCAAAAACCAGATCATATCTAATACCGTAACCTTAGCTTCTATATATATATATGTATATATGTATATAGATATATATGTATATAGATATATCTATGCCTATGTCCTACGCGTGCATATATGTACCCGAGCTATCCCTAACTAGCAAAACCCGAGAAAATTTGCAGGGTCCGCTGGGAATCTCAGGGGGTCCAAGCCAAACCCAGTGTTTGGCAACTCCGACCAAGATATTGTTTGGAACAATCCAACACATCCAACCGAGGAGCATTGTTTCGAAACACCAGCAACTACATACCACTTCGATTTCCAAAAAAAAACGCAAACCAACCAAAACAGGATGTTGTTTTGAGGCATTCAACCCGCGTTTAGTTTCACGGGTTATCACGGGCCCATCACGGTTTCGTCACAGGTTTGGAAAAGCATGTGGTTTTCCCCACGCCCAGGGCTTGCGGGTCCAAACCCAGGGTTTCTGTAGCAAAATCATGGGTTGTCACGGGTCACGGGCATCAATTAAAAATGAAAAAACTATCAGACAAGGTGTAACAAATCCTCGAAATTCCAATGAGGTGGGAATTTGGCAGCCTGGGCAGGGCCACCAGCTGGTCTGAACCGGTTTTGCCGGAAAACCGCGTAGGGTATGTATTATGCATAGAATTTGTATGAACCAACCTTCACCAGATTACAATACCCAGGCTCAGCTCTATCAAATTCCCCGGAACGCGGGTCCACCCAATGTTGCCGAAGTTCCCTTCATTTTTCTAGAGATGAAGAACAAACTCTTGGCGTGTAAGTTGGTCCAGCTATGGCATGTTTGCTTTCACAGGGCTGATTTTGAGGAAATATGCGTCCGATCTTATCATCTTGCTAGTATATATGTACTATCGATATTTACCGTTATTTAATAATCTAAATCAATTATCACTGGATTGTTTTTGGGCTGAATCTTGGCCACGCCAGGCTGCGGGGTCTTTGGACACGCCCGTGGGGTAGGCCGTCTGGCACTTGCGCAAGGGGTCCGCCGCGCCGATGACGCAAGTGCTCTGACACCAGGTGCCACCACAGCCCATGCAGTTGTTCTTCTTGGAGCATTTGCCTTGCTGCAAGGGACCAATGTTTGAGGATGTTCTCATGAATGACCACATGCTAGTGCCAACTTCCAAGATCCTCAAAGTAGCAAAAGCAAAGCACACACACATATATATATATATTTATAGTGTATATATATATGTATATTTAAATTATATATAAATTATGTATGATAAGCCACATATATATATATATGTTTAAAAAATCAAACACATATAAACACATATATGTTTATCAATCACAAATATATCACGTTTAAAAAACACAAGTATATATATATATATATATAAATTAAAGAAACATATATATATATATTTAAATGATGAAAGAAAAACGAATATTTATATATATATGTATGTTATAAACCACATTTATATAAATACATTTAGATTATATATCATATATATATATATTAAAAAACACATGTATAAAAAACATATATATATTTACATTTCAATCTAAATTCATATGAGAAAACATATACATGTAAATATTATAAAGTATCAAGTGGTTGTAGAATGTTGTGAGAGCAACGGGGAAAACACCTGATGTGAGGATTTTCGGGTGGCCGCTCACGTTTTTCACAAACTTCAGGAAGGTCCCAATCATCCCAGTCATCTGGCGACATTGATATGCCGTACCCGCAAGACAGCCAGCGCCCCAAAAGACTACAACTATTTCATTAAGTGTTTTACTGGTTGGTGGTCGAGCCGCCCCTCGGAAAAATATGAAAGTCAGTTGGGAGTTTTATTCCCAATATATGGGAAAAAAATCAAAGCACCAACCGGATTAAGTGTTTAACCATTCTATATTCTACCCTTTTGTTGGTTGAAATACACAGAGATACCCTGGGTCAACTCAGATAGATGTGGGAAATCCACTAGTTCCAGATTGTTTTCCCACAGACACCATGAATTTTCCACATATATGTTAATTTATCCTGGGGTACCTCCAAGATTTTGCCAATGGCAACATTGATTGAGTGAATCATGAAACCGCTTCCCGTATCCCGTGACTCCCCAGGACTGACGGTGATCCGTTTTGGCATCTAAGCATATCTAAGCGACAATGGTCATTGCATTCAACACCCTAAGTGGGGGTTCCTTAAACAGGGTCCCAAATTATCAATGTCAATAGCATTGTCCATTATAAACCATCCATTTTGGGGTACAAATGAGGGTACCCCAAAGAAACTCCAATATATCGAGGTTGCCCTCCAGGACCTTAGGATTAGTCATCACATGCCATAACCTTGCTCTCCAGGACTGGAAATGACGATTTTTTTCCACCATTCTTCCAGCGGCTCTTGTAGGATGCAATGGACATGGGGTAGCAGGTGCCACAGGTGTCCTACCATAGGCATCATAGGCATGTCCGACAGGGGAACATATGATGGCTTTTGTTTGAAAATAGAATAGCCGGAGACCCATAACCCAATTATTGACGATCCTTTTTCCAAGAGAAACATGCCATGGTATGTCTCATTCGTGGACAAACATGGACAAACCATGGCAAACCCATGTGGTGAAAAACATTGGACAACACAAGGCACAATGTTTACTAGTAAAACCTGGAGACAAATTGCCGTTTGACAAACAAAACCCAACGAATCCATGAGCTTCTCGACTAACGTGGATCAACCAATGATTCAATGATGTCCTTTGGAGAAAAGCAGCTGTGCCACTTTGGTTTTTTCATCCATTTAACCTGGTTCCCCTATTGGTCAATGGTTTCCAACCCTTTGTTAGTCAATCAATCAGAGGGGAAACAATTTTCGTTGGAGAAACTCTGGGAAATTGGGTATTGCCAATTCGACGTCTCTGTGCCAAACCATTTCTGTACAGAGTTTTGACCAGCCATGCGTGAATGACCTCCGGCAAACCCGGAAAAAGATCCAGTATAGCCAGTGGATTTTTCCAGCTTGAATAACGCAGTATGGAATGAAACCTGTATATAGAACCTGGTGAAGACACTGGCTTTGGGCTTTACTGATCTTTGCTGCTTGGAGTCAATCAGCCCCAGAAAGACACTCCGCTCCTTGCTGTTCTCTCCGCTGAAGCAGCAAGTTCCGCCCTCCTCTGCCCTTGGTCCGACAGCATCCCTCACTCCTGGACTTGGTTCAATTTATGTTGGTAAAAAAATATTTGAGAAAAATGCATTTTTTTTTTGTAGGTTTTGCCTTAAATCATTTCATTTGAAATTGAAACCACCAGCCACCCAGACAGGTGACTCTCGCTTGTTCTGCCGGGCGGTCTCATTAATCTTGATCTCCTCCGCTGCCCGCCATCAAAGCGGATGACTTATGTGATGTCCATATGTTCCGTATTTGATAATTTACGGATTTGGTTAAAAATCCCGTTTCTAAATATCCCCAAATGGCGTCATTGTTTTCCCCCGCTGATTTTTAAACACGATCAATTATTAATGTATGTGGTCGGGTCGTGGGCTCATAGGGGCATCTTTTCGGTGAAGCATCTTCAATTCTCCAGCATCAATTTGTTGCAAAGATGATAACCTGGATGCTGCGTTCACCCAGGCCCTGGGTAGGGGTCAACATTGGGCACCCCAAATGTGAAGATTTTGCCGTTCTAAACGTATGTTAACCACCATTTGACACATCCATCCAACTATATCTAACAATATCCGACAAGAGATGTCTAAACATATTTATGTAAACAACACACCATTAACACAACTAACAAAAAACATATCTAACACGTCGGCGGACGTCACCATGTAAAGTTTTTCACCTTGGACCATCATGAGCCACACTCCCCCCAGCCAACTCGCAGGTCCCATGTTACCTCTTCAAGGTCTTCGTCATAATCATCTCAGCGGGGCAAGTTGCTGGGCAAAGGTGACTTGTGGAAAAGGACTTGGGTGGTTTAAAATGATGGTGGTGATGATGATCATGATAAAAATGAGTGCGGCGTATTTAAATACAAATATATATGGGAAAGGTACAGTATACGGCATACCCTTCCCTCAAACAACTGCTGGGGAGTCATGAACCTCTTCCCTAAATGGAGGAAATGCTGGATTATCCTATAAACCCCATGAGAAGATAGGATTTTCAAGTGCCATGTTTGCCTACAAGAGGCCAGTCCTTCCCCCTGTCTGGTTGATTCTCAGCTCCCCTGCTAAAAGCTCAAGCTCTAGCCCTAGCCGTTGTGTAAAAAATAAACATAATGTAATTATCCATGCGCGAAAGCAATTACACCGGCAAGAGACCCCAAAGCCAATGCACCATATACAAGCAAAAGTAGCTGTGGAACAGTAACAGATCAGGCTAGACATTATCGCGGCTGCAACAGCAGAACCTTCTATGTAGATCTATATTGAAGAGCTCACAAGAGCTTCAAACAAGAACTTCCTATGAACATCCCAGAATTAAGAACTTTGATGCAAGCACCAATACAGAGGATCTTCAAGATATGAATGCAAGGAGCTCTTGAGGAGGATTCCAACAGGATATCCACAAGATCCTCACAAGGACCTGTACCAGATTACCAGATCATGTAAGGACACCGAAAGGATTGCACCAGGATCTCTTCAAGAGCTTGTCACAAGGACCTGTACAAATCATGAAAACGCCTTTGGCAGCATTTCACTAGGATCTTCATGCCAGGACCCCCAGGAGAATCTCACTAGATCGTCAAAAAAGGGCGGATCTTAGAAGATCTTGATGCAAGAACTTCCCAAGAGCCTCCCACAAGAGCTTTCACACAAGCACTTCTAAGACATGCCATCTGCAGGCCCCTCATGCAAGGACCTTTTAGAGAGGATCCCGCCAGGATCTCCACAAGATCTTCTGTTCATCTTTATCATGCAAGGACCTTGCAAAAGGAATTTAGCAGGATTGACAAATGCCGCCCACTCAGAGCTTGACAACCCTGCAGCGCAGACTTTGCGCGAGCCTAAGCAACCGGCATGAACTGCACATGGGCTATTTTACGCGAGAATTAACAGGCCGCGCCCTATATAGGGGAGCGCTTCAACCACTTTGCGCCAGCCTGCGCCAGCTCGTTTAATTGGACGAGAATATACAGAAAAAAATGCCGCGCCCCAGGCGCGCGACAACCACTTTGTGCGAGCCTGCGCGGTTGAAACGTACATCATCTCACAAGGGTTTACGCGAGGAATTATAGAAAAAATTCCGCGCCCCAGGAGCGCGACAACCACTTTATGCGAGCCTGCGCAATCGAAAATGCACATGGACATCTCACAAAAGCCATTTTCCGTGAGAATTTACAAGAAAATGCCGGATCTAGCCCTGGCCCAACACGTAAGAACTCCTCAGTGTACAGTGTACACACTGCTTAGGGAAAAAGATTCTCAATCTGGCTGGTGAGTTGTAAGCAATCCCCGAAAAAAAAAATTACTTCGTGTGATCCCCACCATGACATTTATACATGTTCTTACTGGCACATCTTCTGGCATTCTATCTGACATATCTTCTGACATTCTATTTGGCATTCTATCTGGCATATCTTCTGGCATATCTTCTGGCATTCTATCTGGCAAATCTTCTGGCATTCTATCTGGCATATCTTCTGGCATTCTATCTGACATATCTTCTGGCATATTTTCTGGCATTCTACCTGGCAAATCTTCTGGCACTCTATCTGACATTTTATCTTTGTACACGAGGTCCGGCAGGGAACACTTGGCGTGGATACTCGCGGTTGAGGTCCGGCAGGGAACACTGGGCGTGGATGGTCGTGGTTGAGGTCCGGCAGGGAACACTGGGCGGGGATGGTCGTGGTTGAGGTCCGGCAGGGAACACTGGGCGTGGATACTCGCGGTTGAGGTCCGGCAGGGAACACTGGGCGGTGATGGTCGTGGTTGGGTCCGGCAGGGCACACTGGGCGTGGATGGTCGTGGTTGAGGTCCGGCAGGGAGCAGGAGGAGAGGAGACGAGGAGAGGAGACGAGGAGAGGAGACGAGGAGAGGAGGAGGAGAAGGAGGAGGAGGAGGAGCAAGCAACTGACATAAAATCTAACAACCCTCACCTGGCAGGTGGGGAACTTGTCATCTCTCAACCAGTCATCCCAACTATGGTTGGGAAACCAGAAATATTCTCCCACCATTTATCTATCATCTTCCCAGCAAACCTGTATTGAGTTCGGGGATTTCCCTTTGGCTAATCATGTTTGACGACACCAGAGGGTAAACCCCATATCCTCCCATTATACACCATCAAATAATTTATGATTGATATCTTCCTGTAGCTATAGCAAGTAGTAGCAACCCATCATGTCTCCTAGCATCAAACATGGGAGCAGTGTTCGAAACCCTCCGTGGTCCCTTCGTGGGTGATTAATATAACATGTCCCAGTTGAAGATTCTGATACAGCAACTAGCAATACTATAATGCATAAACGGAGGGTAATGTTGGGCTCCGATTAGTCTGATGGTACCCTATTGTGAGAATTGCTTGCTTCCGAATTGGGCGTCTTGGGGATTGTGGGGGGGGGAGTCTCTATTGTGAGAAGGTTTTTTCTCAGATTCATTTTTTTCAGGAGGAGCTTTATCCACCTTTATACACCTTTCTTTGGGTAGAGCTAGTCCATTTACTTTAGAAAGCCATCATATCCATGTTAAAGCCTTGAAAATGCAAGGGTGTCAAAGGTTTTCCAAATAATTAGATGCCTTATGAAACCCCTTTTTAAAGAACAGCATCCAGACAATTTTTCAAGGGAGTACCCCATGAGTGGACCAGATACTCAATAATGTAATGTGCACAAAAAACTTTTGGGGCCATGTTTTTTGGATTTAAACGGAAAAACAATTGAAAGCAAATTGAACATCAATTGAAATTAACTGAAAACCAATTGAATATCAATTGCAACCAATTGAAAGTAAATTGATTGTAAATCAATTGAAATCAGTTGAAAATCAATTGGAAGTATATTGATTTCAATCGAAATCCTTACTTAAGTTGACTATCCTAAAATCTGTTAAATTGTTGAGGGGGGGAGGCGCAGAAAATGTCGAGTTATTGAAAGAACTAAAATTGTTGAGGGGGGGGGCCCTCACACTAACCAGAGCCCAGTTTCATAAACCTATGATTCATCATCATCCCAGTCATAGGGGAATTAATAATCCTTAACTAAGGATGGTATATGACATTAGGTTTACCATATTAATTACCGATCATCAATATTTAGCTGCAATCCATCCCGTTAAAATTCATTCAATATTTCCCGTTGTATGCGCGTAGGCATGTATGCATGTATGCATGTATGCATGTATGCATGTATCTATGTATCTATGTATCTATGTATGTATGTATGCATGCATGCATGCATGCATGGATGGATGTATGGATGGATGGATGGATGGATGGATGTATCGATGTATCGATGTATCGATGTACCTTTGTATCTATGTATGCATGTATGTATGTAAGTATGTATGTATGCATGCATCTATGCATCTCTCTATCTATCTATCTATCTATCTATCTATCTATCTGTCTATTTATCTATCTCCCTCTCCCTCTCTCTCTGTCTTTGTCTCTCTCTCTCTCTCTTTCTCTCTGTCTCTCTCTCTCTCTCTCTGTCTGTCCATCGCTGTCACGACACCCTGCTCTAGCTGTTGTACGATTGATAAACCTCTAGATTATGTATATAAACAAACGTAATTTGTACATATATAAATATAAATAAGTATATATATATATATATTTATATTATGTATGTAAATGATTGTAAATGTCAATGTACATGTAAATGCATACGTATATGTAAATGTATATGAGCGATTGGCAACAACCCTACAGCAAGTAGCAGTAACCGTAACAATGATTATGTAATGATATCTATTTATGTATCTATTTATGTTTTTTTGAAGAAAAAACAATCTCTTATAACAAGTTGTACGGGTAGCGAATGGCCCACCTCCCCTCCCATCCATGCCTGCAAGTACAATGTGATGCCAAGGCTCCCTCCTCAGCCTCCTCCGGCGCCGTGCCGGGCGTGACCTCGATGGGTTCCGCCAACTCGTTCACCTCGCGACCCACCGGGGTTTTCACCCAGCCGCAACCGAAACATGGTGGTTTTTTACCAGGTTTCATTGCACCCCATGAAGAAAAACAGTATAAATAGATTTAAATTTAAATAGTGGAAAACAAGAGGCGATTCTACGAAGAATTTGTCTTGGCACGATTTGATGTCGATTTTTCCTTCCGATTTTATCTGACGTGATGAAGAATTCTGATCAACAAGTGGCAGAATTTGGCCCAAAATGATATGAACATCCAATTCACCAGCAAAAAAAAATACGTTCCCAGGCCTGAGGTGACTCGGCCAAGGGTGCAGCTCGGTGCTCAGACACCTCCACCTCGGCCTGCAAGTGATGTTGTTTCTTTGATACTGCTGAATTTTTTGTTGTTCGTAATGATGTGTTGTTCAAAAGAAACAAGGGTTCCACTTGAAAAATGTAAACATGTTTGATATTTGGACGGCATTTTGGCAAACTCTGACTGGTGAAAGTGGGGAGGTTTTTGGAATGTGGTTGGATCTACACCTGAACACGAAGAAAGGATTGAAAATAGCACACATCTGAAACTAAGCGCGCTCCAGTTTCTGTGCCGTATGGTATCTATTTCTTTCATTATTCAGCAACAATTTCTCGAACATTGATCAAGTTGCACCCCTAAAATCCATGAATTTAGAACCTCATTTTCACCATTGCATGGCAAGGCCAGTTGGATCCCAGTTTTAGACACACCTGGAAATCGCATGTTTTGATTATAAAAAATAAAAATAAATTCACAATTTGTGTTTGTTAATGTTTGTTGCATCCCCCCTGTTCAGACTCGTGCGAATATCTCCACATTATACCTAATTTGGCACACAGTAAACCAATACCATCCCCCAATTCACAGAGACCCTGCCACGAGTTGGGTGTAGGAAAATCACTTTCCATCAAACATTTGCAATTTTCAGGGTCTGTGATAATTTGCTAACACCTCAGCCTCAGAATCTTCTTTTGCTATCCCCCTATAAACTAACATAGATATGAAAACCCAACCATTTGTAGATCATTTTCCCAGGGTTTCCGCTTGGTTTTCCACAATCTATGTCTATGTGCTGTAAACGTTTACCCTACGGTATTCCATGAAGCCCCATAGAATCCATATATATATATAAAGAGATTCCTATGAAATGCCGTGATAATCCCTGCTAAATCACCATGATTCGATATTTTTCGATTTTTACCCTAGAGTAAATCACCATTTTTCCCACCCAATCGGCATCCAGAAACGCTACCAGCTGGCACCTGGTGACCCCTCAACTGGCGCAAAGATAGGGCACAGTCCTCAAGAATCCGACCAGGTGGCAATGATACAGGAGGCTCCAGTTATAAGTGGAATGGAGTGAAGATATGGATGATATGGATGTTAGGAGGTGGGTAAAATATGGTGATATAGGATAGTATATGGGTTTCCAGCTTTTCCAAAGTTCTACATGTATCCATGTGATACCCCAGCTACATATGAATACATATGGCATGTTATAGGATATTCCCAGCTCAGGGATAGAAACTTTTAGAACCATTTAAAAAACTGGGATGCACATCCAAGGAGCCCTAGTTGTAAAGGTTTATTGCATGATACAGGCTCCCGGAGGTCAGTTGAGCTTCTAGGTGACATGGGAGTTAGATGGGGTGAATGGCTTGTCGTCATCCCACAACCATTAGGGGTTCAAAACAGAAAGGGATATGATATACGGATATATATATATATACATCTATTTAATGGGTATAACCCCCTATGAGAATCATGTCCATCCCCCAAGAACTGGATGTATAATCCATATTTCGACACGGAGCTTGCGGACTCGAAATTCCACGGTCAACCAGCCCCAGGCACAGGCGGCGGGCATCGGTGACCACTGAAAATCGACAGGGAACTGTACTGACAAAATACAACACTATATACAAAGGTGGTCACTGCATCACGCAGAGAGCCCTTAGGCTGTCAAGAAGGCGCTTCAAAATTCCCATCGTTGACAGATACCGAGCAAGGTCAATATATATGTGATTGACGCAGCAAATTTCATTGAATTTATCACAGGGGGCGGCTACCAACTGGGGTGGTAAGCACACCATACAAGTATCAAAACAAATTGCATATCAAGGCCAGAAAAATCATTCAGATGACCGGCCCTGTTTCTGACTGTTCCACTGGCTCAAAATTTCATTGATGCATACCATACCCATTGTCGTCATCAATATCTCTCGTCTCTTGTCTGGTGACGCCACAACACCTGATTCTGAACTCGTGCTGTCGCAAGGACGAAAATAGACTTTGCTTATGCCATGGCAGACAGCGAGCTCCCGCTGGTCAACCGTCACCCTTGCCAACTAGTAACCACAAAGTCATGTGTAAATCGCTAAGGCGTAAAGAGATCTCCTCATAATCACATTGCGACCTGACTCCATCACGCATCAATCTGACATACATCAAGACAAGCTAATCACTCACGGCAATAGCATCCTGTTTGAACAACTCCACAGTATGTAGGACGTCGCTGGGACAAATTAATCCGCCTTTCGCAGTTAAATTCCAAAGCAAAGTCCCACTAAAAACATAGCAGGTGCCTCAGGGTATGGCATGGCTTAGTCGGTTGTGAACTTTGAAACAGCGACACATTCCAGCTTCACCACGTGGAGGTCTGAGCCAAGAAGCTATCCATATTCCGACCATGGAACATATTGTATCATACGGAGTCTCGTGTGATATCAACTGGTGCCGTGTGGCATTGCATGGTATCATGGAGGATATAATTACCAAACACAATGAGATCTTTAACATCGCTAGTTGTTGCTAGTTTCGGTGTGGTCCCCCAAAAAACATATGTAAAGAGCCCAACAAATGACATGATCTTTCTAGGATGGGAACATGGGGATTAACATGATTAATTAACCATAACCAACGACTTTAACTCGGAAGTCAACCACCCAACATGGGGATGGAATCAATCATCCTGAAGGGAGATACTGGGACCGCAATGAGATACAACATGATACAACCAACAATATGATTTAGCTTTGGATTATTCCAAAATTTCTGGCCATCTAGAAGATGGAACAATGATGTTCAAGACCACTTTTTCAAACAAGACTCAGCCATACTCAGCCGAAGTCATATACGTGCAGCCAAAACAACTTTCGCAGAGTTGCGAAGGCAGAAACAAATTGTTCTATCATAAACATACGCAAATTGTTCTACCATAAGGGTTAGTTAGCTTGCTGTTGCGTGTGTGCGTGTTGCGGGTCAAACAAGTGGTGCCAAGTTATTGATGTCGCCATGGCGCGAGCAATGAACCTGCAGCGGAATCATAATGAGCATCCTGCGATCCAGCACGGATGACAGCTGAGTGCGAAAATCTGTGTAGCCGCTCCTTTGCGGAGTAAGATGCCCCACCTGACAAGAATATTCAAAACAATCCGCTTTCGGCATGTTTTGGTGACCACCAATTGGATCTTGACATGCTCATTTCTGCTCCGAACTGTTCGAATCTGCAATGTGTTTTAGCCCGATGATGCCCGATGTCAGCACTCTCGTCGGCCAGAATAGCGCACAACTCATCTAGCGCAGCGGTGTCATTGCATGGCCGTCCACGGATTGTCTCAAACAAGATGGTACCCCTCAACTACTCAACTGCTAAGCGGGGCCCCGTTACGCGATCTCACTATATAAACACCACTTGCTGCAGTCTAAACCACCTTAACTATCTTGGGGGCCCCAGTTTGTAAGTTTATGAATCGACGGTTGGCATCATGCAAAATGCCCACGATCCGCTTGAGTCCGGTTATCACTCTGCAAGAAAGCTGGCAACTTGCTGGCACACGAGAAAATATGGGGTTTAACTAACCGTCAAACATCGGGGTATATATGAGCAACAATTTATGGGAATAGCACGGGAGATAAGTGTCATTTTATGTAATTCTCCAGGATTCCCATAGCACTCCAATAAGAAATCCCGTGTTTGTGCCAGGGAAGTGGATCAGGGAAACGTGTCGGGCAAATCCCATGGACGTCTCTAAAGGTGTCATCATATACCCTCTTGTCAAACGTGGTAAAGATAAATTCACGATAATAGGATGTTTGATGGGAAAATAATCTACAAATGGGAGATTTTCCATTGCCATTGCCGTGTTTGATTTCTGCAGCAAAGGGTAGATCAACAGTTGGCTGGATCTACACTCTGGTAATCGAAGCTGGCAATTCAAAATCGGTTCAAAATGCTTTATGATGATGTTACTGTTACTCTAAAACATTGCGATTCTTTTTGATCCATTTGATTTCCAATTTTCTTCGTTAAAGTCCCCACTGCCTGCTCCCAACGCTTCATGACAAGCTCCTCTTCATCATTGCCACATGCTTCATCCGCAGGCACAAAGTCTGCTGCGGCGATAGAAACCTTAGCCGGCTTTTGCAAAGGTGAAACCTGGAAAAGCGGCAAGGCAAACCTTCAAGTAAGGAGAGGACAAGAAACACATGGCCTATCTGAAAAAAGCGCTGAAAAAAGACGTAAAACATAGGAACTCAGTTTGAAAGTTACTACCTGAGTCCACTGTACACGAAGATGACAATCATCTCGCAGTGATGTTCAACGCAATGCTGTCGAATTGTTTTTTCAGTCCAGAGACATAAGAATAAAACATAGCTATGCGGCTATGCCATGCTATGCTGAAGCAGAATGCTAAAATGTGGTTGGGAACCTCAAGTTGTATCTTCACTGCTCCCGAGGAAAAAGGGAAATATGGATACAGCCATAGCTCTTATATAATTTATATAAGCGTTCCCTCCATTTCCCTCCATTAACCACCGAATATGCTTTCTATGCCCTTACAACCCATCATATGTCACCCTATAACGGCATGATACCCTCATTATATAGCATTGTATCCACGACAAACTGGAATATATTGACCACGTTCCATCTCTTTAAGCAGGCTTCATTACCTCTTGCGTGGACAGCCTAGATGAGCCAAGTAGGAACTGTGAGAAAACCTTTGAAACATTCATTCCGGAGAGAAAGAAAGACAGAGAGCAACAATTGTTGCTTAATGATCCTGGTCGCTGATCCAGAAGCACCTCAAGGATTAGAACGTATTAGAACTAAACAAAAAATCTTGGACTCACCACTGTCCTGAGCCTGGAAACTGAAGCCACGATGCAAATCAAGCGCAGCATGGCTAACACGAAAAGCGCTGTTTCTTTGGGACGCGAACCAATCGCTTGAGCAAAAACAACTGGGGACATTGGAAGCAAATCTGGGCCATTTCTCGTGATTCGAGAATCCAAAGTATCGTCCCCCAAACTAACACAGACAATAACGACCATAACAAACATGGGTTAAAAACAGAGTCTATGTTAGTTGTGGGCCATGATATTTCCCGGAAATATTAATGCTTCTTGGCAAAACCACCTGCCCAGACGCACCTTATCTCCCCGCGTTCCAAGGCCAGGACTCATTTCTGCGCCTCTTCAGTTAGCGTCTGCAGCAGCTTCCCCAACGCCTCTGAAATTTGCAATGAAGTCCATATTTTCAGTAATTACTATGGATTCATAATGGGGATTTAACCAGGTATAGATATTAATTATTTATATCCCATAAAAATCCCAAGAACAATGCTATCACCATATATTGGTGATGTATGGGGTATAAATGGATATAACAAGGATTTATCCGGGTACATTCTAGTGACCTCGCTGTGACCTCGCTGGGTGTGCATAGGATATAAGGGAATCATCCCCAAATGGCAGAACTCTTCAGGTTAGCTAAGCACTAAAATTAACAGTGTCCAATTGCCTTTTTTTAACCAAAGCCTATAGATTTTTAAGCGGGCTATGAGTTATATATTCATTGTTTTGACGGGAAACTGCATTCTGGATTGATTTTAGGACCCGACATTGGTAAACCATATTTCAGTTTTCTTTTACCAAAGCCAGTGGGTCAGTGGGTTATAACCTCAGCATACCTCAGCTATAATAAGTGGACTAGCCTTTCTGACCCTGCTTGTAGCTCGGGTTGATGATTATCACCATTCATCGAAACCATTAAAAAAAACAAAGTTGGAAACCTGGTAGTTATAGGGAATACATCATCTAGACTCTCTACCATCCTGAAAATACGTTCTCGCATCTTTTTGGGGCTTGCTATGAAGGGGTTTCCTGCAACTGTTCTCCTTGAACCAATTTTGGACAACTCTACTCAAGGGCAAACAAACAAAAACATGGTTTGCTTGGAAATACTTTCCCACGTCATGTTGGGGCTTACTGTACAGGGGTTTCCTACAATTTCTTCTCCTTCAACCACTTCTGGACAGCTCTACTCAAGGGGAAAAACAAAAAAAACATGGTGTCCCACCTCGCTGGGCACATCTTCCACCAATGCAGCCTGGATCTGGGTGCGGCAGATCTGTCAATTGGGGAGGTACCATAGTAGCAAATGACAACAATTTTGGGGGTTTCGAAAATACGGGGTATATACCTCAAAATAGATTGTTTACAGATCTTACAGTTTGTAAATGTGTATAGATTATAGTGGAACATCATCTGAAAATAGATGATTTGGGGCACCCCTATTTTTGGAAACCTCCATTTCGGAGAGGTACCCGGGTACCATCCATGGTTTTCTCTTCCAAGGTTGACACTAATCAAAGCGAGCAGATCAGCATTTTATTATATTTTACTGGTACAGTAGTTGATGGTTTCACCCAAATCTCTAGCAAAAGCTGGGAAAACCAACCAAGAAGGTCACAGAATCAGATCCAAAAATTGGACCTTTCTGATGTAAGCAGGCGCCAGTTTTTGTTGCATTTCCAGAAACTAGAAGGTTAGGTCATGTCCTCTTGTTGCAAGACCTACCCTCTAATCTGTTGTCCCTCTAACCTGCTTGGAAATCCAAACGTCAAGGGGGTTGTGGATGGATCGAATAAACAGCTTGTTCCAACTTGTTGCATAGAGCCGCCGCAATTGACAATGGATTCGTTTTCATAAAACATATGACTTAAATAGGATCTTTATAATGGATATTAAACTTCCTGATTGGCTGGGCGGAGGGCCACCTTTCTTAGATTCTTAGCCATGCTTTGCTTTTACTTGACCATCCGTTACTCAGATTTTTGCGGGTGGCCAACCAAACAAACGCAGGTCTTTACGGCAAATAATCTGATGCAAACACTTTCCACACACACACATATATATATATATTTATAGACATATCCCCCAATCTACTTCCAAAGATTAAGTTGTACTGAACTTACTGAACAACATTGAACGACCCATCCAGCCCGTCCAGCCCGTTCACCCGCGCCTGTACTTGACTGCTGCGACTTTGACCCTGGAAACGTTTGATTCGTACCTGGAGGCCCGTTGAGAATGGCTGGCATGATGGTAGCCACTGGGCGGGGGGGATGGGCAATACAAAAGGGAATAGCATGGAATAGCCACATCATCTCTGTAATTCTTTTGCTTTTGGAGACCTCAGAGATGGTGACTTCAGACTGAATTTGGATAGTCAATTCAGGGAAGTCCTCGTTTATGCGCTATCCACCCGGACAACCATGGCCGCAAGTTCCTACGTGGAGATGGCTCCTCTTATGTCGAGTCTATCTAATCCAAGCTACTTCAATGTACCCGATATTGATGAACCGTTGGGAATAACCGTCATATCCTTTCAGTTTTGTCGTTGCTGGTGATCTCCATGATTTCCGATTAAGTACAATTGCGGCCTGGTATCTGGATACAGTAGTCTCAAGGTCACTCCACGCATTATTTCAGCTGCTACTTCTAAGCACCATTATATATATATATATTGTCAATACAATAACATGCCCATACAATCAAATCGCCACTGGCTGCATACTGACCTGGATTCTGGAAAATTGTAATGACGTGACTAAATGTGACAAACCTCATATTACAAGGCTAATCTGAGATACCCGGACAACGCTTCACACATGTGCTGTGCATCATGTTCCCTCGTTTGTGGCCAGATGCCTGGTCGAGGGTTACAAATTTAAATCCTAAGACCTCGGGCCTGCGGCGTCAGCGTTTTCGAGGCCTCGGCAGCGTGGGACAACTGTTTAGGGATAAAGTGTTAAACGAAAAAAATAGTTGAACAAGTTCAATTAGTTCGATTTTCAAGGATTACTTTTTGAAGAATGAATTCATAAGAAGTTGTTTTCGCCTGAAAAATGTTCTGAGCGCCTCAATGCTGTCAGGCTGGTTCAGTTCTAGCAGCATCACGTCATAACGGGTCGTAGATGTTTGGATGTGGTTAGTATCACCATGAATCAACGGGGTCACCGGGACATTGTTCACTTTCAGGAAATCGACTCGTAGAATGTGCCATGGAATCCGGAGCCATTTTTTTGTTCGCACGGGTCATGCGCGCCACTCACATCATGCTGATGAACAAGGCCTTGGCTGTCGACAGCTATACAGCTAAGATAATTTCATGAATATGTGCGGCGAGAATAGGTTGCCCTAAAGGCCAATGTTTTTCCATATTTGTTTAATCACTGAAATTGGTTGTCTGAGCGTTGTTTGTGAATAATTGGGTATCCCTAATCGCATGAATCATCATCATCATCATCATCCTCATCATCAAAATAGCCATCTGCAATCATTTGCATGGGTAATCCACATATTGAAACGCCCTAAATTGCACCCCATGTCCGGACGATCCCTCAGCGGATTCATCCCCCAGGTCATCATCATAGACAGAATGCATTGATGAAAGAAGTCATGTCCAATAACTTCAATCAATTTCCATGAATTTCCCCCCATGTTTTCCCCAAAGAAGAAAAATATTGTAAAAACCCACCATTTTCCCCCAACAAAATCGCCCAGAACGAACCGAGGTTCTGCCAAGAAGGCAATCGTCAGACTCCAGGCTTTAGCCTGGGTAGAAGATGTCTAGATGTCGGGGGGGTGGGGTTCTTGGGACAACCTGCGGCTAAAACATGTTGAAACCATGTCGCAGTGTTTGAAAATGGAATATATCACCCAAGTTGTGGCCGGTTTTTTCTGGGGATTTTATGATGATTAAGTATGATTCACCAATGGGATTCGGAGGAGCCTATTAACAAAGCCATGTCCTTTTTTCCCTTAGGTTTCCCTGTAATGTGGGTGTGTGAGGTTCCCAGTATTGGATTGAAGAGAACCTAAGCCATGCTGTTGGTGCTTCATTTTGGCCACTGAATCAAATATAATGCATAATATATTGTGTAGAGGGGCTTCCGGCATTGTTTCCTTTGTTCAATCTTAGACTAGTTCATCGCCCGGAATAGACGACCGTATCAGTATTATTTACCCGACTCACCATCAAGCACCAGGGGTAGGGGCACCATTGCCCAACAGCACAACAATAATTACAACTATCACCACAGAGAAACTGGTAAAACTTGGATACACCAACCACCACAACGGTTTAAGGTGCCGATAGATTTACATGTTCCGTTTTCTCATGCGATGGACAGGTGGACAGAACATTTGAAGCTCAACTTTCCTGAAACCACGGGGTCAACAATGTGAGCAATACTTGCGAAAAGAGAACTGTCGCAACATAGAAACGGCTTTTGGAGGATCAGCCAAATACAGCTGAGGTTTTCTCCAGCCGTCTCTTCCCCTTGAATGGTGCTGAACAAAGCAAGTGGCCGCGCTCCTCTCAGCCCAAGATGGGCTTGGGAAGACCATGAGATCCATCTCGGATCCTGGTTGAGTTGTGATTTTGGCTGGGGGCTAAGGTCATTGCAAGAAGGACACACCGACACGCCCCTTGGCAACAAAAATATCTTGGAGCTGGGAAATTGAAGCGGGGAAATGCCGAATGAGCCCCACAAAATAAAAATAGGAGACCTGCGAGATCAAATGGTCAAAGGATAAACCCAGCACGCCGTCCCCGTGTCAATTTCGCTGTGGGGACCCTTCAAATCTCATCTAGAAGTGTGGAACAACGCAATCTGTGCCTGGAACTTGCCATGGAAATCAAATTCGAAAATGCGCGTGTCCCATGCACAGGTCACCAAATCCTATTCCTGCCAAGGCACCCTTTCCAGCCAAACCTGCACCCGTGCGAAGCACCAGGTAGCCTTGGAGCATGGCTGAATGGTTAAGTGATGTCATTTAGAGTATTTCGAATACTGTCTGAAGAGGTGCGCCCTTTCCTTCTCATTACGCATTCATATTCACACAAGGCATATAGATTATATAGTGCCCTCCAGTTGTAAGTATTGTTTTTGCTTATGAATTCAGCTTAGACATATCTACCACAAACCCTACTCCTATCAGCTATAAGCCATTATGGGACACTGCCATGATCCGCCATGATCAAAGCCTCAATGGCAGCCATGCCCAGGAGGGAATGGCACTGAGTTCCCAGATGGTGCCAAAGTGGGGATGGTGTAAAGAGTTCCGAGGAAAGTAGCTCTGCAACCATGGAGCCAGAGTATATGATAGATATTCATAGATATTCCATCTTAAACATCCCATTCCTAACAATATATACATGTTGTACATATTCAGCCACATTCATTCCCAACGAGTTGGTGCCCCCTAGTTAAAAGTTGGTTTATTGCCCATCAAGTAAATAGTTATTGTTGATTAGGTAGCTGCAAACCCCAATCAGTCCCACCGTCACACGAAGTACGGCTTGGCCTCTGCAAAAGGAACGCGGCCTTTTTGGACCGCACAGCGTGCCATCCGGCATTGCTCTAGAGTTCTCCCACCCTTGAGCCAAAAGAAAGGCAGGTGGAAAACATTGAAACATGTGAAATGGTCAATTGAGTGACACGCAATTCACACAGGGTAAAAAGAGAGATGAAAATTTAAAATTCACCTCGTAAACGTGCATCGGCTAGGTCGCCAATTCGAAGTCCTCCAGGAGGCATCGTAGCTCGAGCATCGCCACGAAAGTCGCAGTGCGGCAAAGCGAAATCTCTGCTGCAAAGCCGGCATGCAGTGCACTTGTAGATGACCTGGTTGCCATCGGTCCTCTGGTACACACAGTCCAAGTTTGCATGCCATATGGAGCTATGGGGCAGCAGGTAGATCTCGTGATCTTCCAAGTTGCGCTAGAAGTCCACGCGATGAACTTCCCACTTCGCCTTCCACTTGCGGGCCTCATCTCTGGCATCGATCAGCATGTTCTGCTTCTTCATCAGTTCAGCTTCCAGTCCACGTCGATGCTCTCGTAGAACCATAACCTCTTCGTACATCTTTCGAAGGGTTTCAGTGTCCTCCGGTGTCATCACGGTCTGTGTAACCGTTTCACCAGGCACAGGTTCTGCTTGAGGTTCAGGAGGATCACGTCGGCAAATCCAACGTCGAAGCAGCCAGCAGCCGAAGATCATCAGCATGATCGTGGTCAGGAACACGGCAGGGTTGTAGACAAAGTCCACAGTATAGAGCTCGGCCAGGTGCTTCAGGTAGTTCATGGGCATCGCGAGGTCGAAGTTGGTCATGTCATACTCAGTCACATTGGGCATCGCAAAGTCGAGGTTGGTCTTGATGTCATTCTCCATGGTGTTGGGCATCTCACTTTCGAGGTTGGTCTTCTTGAAGTCAATCTCTGCAGCATTGACCACGCTGACGACGTTCAGGAGTCCTGCAAACATAGCTTGCATAGCTCTGGCAGGTTTCTTCACTGCGAACATCTCAGCATTCTTCTTTCTCTCACCAGCAGTTTTGCGTTTGGCAGCTTGGAAAGTCAGGTCTGACTTCAGCTTGGTGCGGTGGCTTCTCAAACGGTCTGCAAGGAGCTGAGCAGCAGCTTCTTTTGTCAGGCCGTCCGCATACTGCAGCTCGGAACTCACCCATGAAGTTCGGGCACCGCAGCACTTCAGCTTGTCCTGCGTGACAAGGACCTCTATGGCTGTCCGCTTGTCGGACCCAGTTCCAGCTTGTACTTCTTCTTTGATCAGCAGGTCATACAAAGCTTTTGCGTCTACCACCAGTTTTGGAGAACCAGACATCCTTGCAGTTGCAACATCGTCCAAAGGCAGCCATGGGGACCAAACTAGGTTCCAAAACGTTGAGGCAAACAAAAGGGCATCTGCAGCTTCTGATGCTCCTTGGCTTTCAGCACTCAAAGTTGAACGGGCTACCCGTGCAAGTTTCCAACTGCGCCAGTCAAGGACGTTATACCATCCTTCTTCACCTTCTGCCACCTTGTTGTTCACAATCACCAGCAAGTAGCCGCCTTGGCTGCTCAAGTCATGTCGGCAGGCAAAGGAGGCATCGCTGTAGGCGATCATGGTCAGGCCATTCTTTTCGCCAAGGTAGCGGTACTCCAAACCAACGTCCGCATTTGTTTTCGCCATCCTCAGGGCTTTGTTGGCATTCTGCAAGGTCTTGATGGTTGCTCGGGTCACATCCCCAGCCAGCATAGAAACTTGAGCTTGTAGGTGTGGTGAAGATTGAGTTGCAGGCCATTGCAAGGCGCCAATCAAACCACGAAGTTGGGTTCTTTCGCTTTCGGTCACCGGCAAGGACTCATTGTTCTTGCGGTCTTTGGCAATCGCGATGGGCTTTTGCTTGTGGATGTACTTCTCCTGGTGGAGGTGCCAATGGTTCTCGGCCTTCTTGTCAATCTGACATCCACAGTACTCAAGGTGGTCACCGCTCAGCCATTCACGAAAGCTAAAAACTTCCTTCAAGGATTGTTGCAGGCGCTCAGCATGTTTGTTGTTGGGCTTGAGGCATCCAAACAAATCATCCACGTGGATACCAAACATTCCAATCAGCTCAGGCTCGATTCCATGGGCATGAGCTTGATGGGGATCTTGGTCGTAGGCCAGGAAAAGACAGGCATCCAGAGGATGTTGAATGATGGTGCCTTCGCCAGTGCGCAAAATGCGCTCTGTCGCCTCTTCATACCATGCTCTTGGAGCGTCACACAAACCATAGATGGGCTTGATCAACTTCATCAGTTGGCCGCTTTCGCGCTCAATTCCAAGGATCTGCTCAGCATCCCTTGGCAGGCGCACCCATATCTCACGCGAGCCATCAGTTTTGAAATCTTTCCCCTGCAAAAACGCTGTACTCACATCACTTGTAAAAGGTTCCATACCCAACATTGTGGCCACTGTCATGATCACACCTCTCGCAAGCCTTGTGAGCGTCGGACTTGTAGTGGAGAGAGATCCGCTCAAGGCATCAGGGTCTTTAAACCCTTGGACCACCAGTCGGGCTTTTGCTCTTGGAGAGCCATCAGGATTCTTTTTCCAACCCAAGATGAACTTGCCTTTGAGGACTCGGTCTGCAGGAACGTTCTTGCCATTGTCAAACTGCCAGACAGAGTTGTCGAAGAACGACTGCAGCTCTTTCATCTTGGCTTCTCGGAAAGTCATCCGATCTTCCAAACTCATGTAGCGCTCATTCAAAGGCTGGTTGCTAGGCTCTTGGGCGTAGCATTCTTCCAAGTTCTTGTTGAACAGCTCTTTGGCCTGTTTTCGCCAGGCAGGCAAAACCTTGAAGCGTGTGTAGCCAGTCCACATGTTGGTGGCATACTTGGGCTTCAAATTTCCTGACTTCCACTTCTCGCGGTAGAGGTAGCTTCCCATGCTCACCACCTTCTTCTTGTCCAGAAAGTGCAGTGGAATTGGGCAGTTCTTCTCGTCAGGCACAAAGTCGCTTTGTCTGGGGGCGTAGTGTCGCCTGGTGAGGTAGTTGCCAGCAAGCTCCCATGAGTCCATCACATTGTCCTCCAAGACCATGTAGCCATTTGCAATCTTCCATCCACGCGGCAGCTTGGTCTTGTTGTGAATGTCCACGTCAAAGGAGTGCTGGGCATCTTCTGCATCTTGAAGACCTCGTTGTGAATATGGTGTAGTTCTCGGCAAGGCAGGAGTTGCTGCAGGACCATAGGATCTTGGCAGCACCATAGTTTCTTGCCGTTCATGTCGTCGTCGTTGTTGTTCAAACGTAGAAAGGCCAGGAGGTTGTTGTGCAGGTTGAGCAGGTAGTGAATGTCCAGGTTGTTCGGCATGTTGAGGTAGAGCAGGTTGTACAGGTAGTTCAGGTGGTAGGGCCATAGGTGAAAGTTGTTGGCCAAGTGGTTCTTCCATAGGTTCCACAACACTACCAGCAGGAGTCGGCAGGATTGGAACTTGTTCATGTTGGTCATCATCCATAGGTGCAATCTGTTGCATTGACATTGACGCGGCAGCGCCACCTCCTCCATCTCCAGAAAGATCGTTGTCATCGGCGATGCTCGGGCTTGGAGAAACCGAAGGTGGGCCACGAAAAGGGGCTGTAGGATCATCTCCATCATCTTGTCCATGTCCACCGCCACCAGTAGGTCCACCATGAGGTCCATCACCTCGAAAAAGGTCATGTAGTTCACCATCAGAGTCGCTCGTCAGCAAGCCAGGGTCGACGATGAACGTAGTGATGCCAGTCCACTTGTAGTGAAGAACTCGTTCAGCATCAGGACCTCGCCACTCATCGCGGATGATCAGCGTCTCAGGTTCAGGTCCACCACGTCGCACCGTTGTGATGCGCTCCTCCTTGAAAAGGTGAATGGGGACCTCATCAAACAGGGCATCTGGAGTGAAAAGTTGTTGCCTTGGTATGTTGTGAATCCTTGTCCAAGTCCGGCCATCATTGCTGGCCTGCCATCTGTCTTCTTGAGGTTCAGCTGGGAAGTCCGCAAGCTCATTATCAAGCTCTTCAGCTTCATCTTCTGTTGCAACTTCTTCTCGTTTGCGCTTGTTGGACTTCGGCAGGTCAACGTAGTGTGTCACACCACGGTTGCGAATCCCCAGAAGGGCAAGTTGGGCTCGGTCAAGGGAATCCATGAAGCGGGACTCATCTGACTCAGGGTGTGTGGCTGGTCTGACATGCTCAGGGGCAGCACGAAGCAAAGTGGTGCCATGCGCCAACCAATAAACATCTCCATGTGGTCCAGCTTCAGAGGTCTCTTTCATCACAACAATGGCAGGTCCACGCCATCGCAACTTGGGTCCATTGGCAGGGCCATCACGCCAGTAGTAGCATCTGTCACCAGTGCTCAAAACCACTGGTTGCCCCACAAACTTTCGAAGAAGGGCTCGACGAAGTCGTGCGTCGATGTTGGCCTCATTCAATGCCTTTGCAGCTGAGGCCTGAAGTTCCAACTTCTCACGAAAAGCTTCTGTTGGATCCAAGTGTGCAGGCGAAATCTGCTCTTCCATCAGCAAACCAGGTATATGTGGGGTGTATCCCATCGCCCATTGAACTGGTGAGTAACCTGAAACATTTGGCATCCTGTTGACTTGAGGTATCACATAGCACAAAGCAGTGATAACAGCCTCTTGGGTCGCAGCAATGGCAGGGTTGTCGGTGAGGAACGTGGTCAAGGCACGTCGAACCACCTGATGTCTCCTCTCCAAAATTGCCAGTCTTGTGTGACTTTCACCAGGGCTGATCTTCAAGTCAACGCCATTCTCGGTGCACCAAAATCTGATTGCATCTGAGCACCATGCTCTGTGCTCGTCCACAAACAACTTCTTCATAGGGCCAAAGTTTCTCACCCAGCCACGCTCGAGCTGCTTGATGAACTCTTCAGAGGATTCGGCCCGAAGTTCACGTCCAGCAACCAAACGTGTTGTAGCATCGCTCATCACCAAAACTGGAGTGGCCTTCTTGCGTCCAGGCACATGAACCCAAAGAGTGTCAGCTTGAACTCGATCATTGAACTGCGTAGCTCTGGGCACCGAAGAAACTGGATGGCCAATGGGCCGTTTATGCAAATCACATGTGGTGCATTTGTGGGTCTTGGCACCTTCGATCATCTCAGGGCTTGCACCCTTCTGCTCCAGCAACTTCATAAGTTCACCGCTGGTAGGGTGGCCAAGGTTCCTGTGAAGACGCGTGATGGTGCGCTTCACATCTTGGGCAGCAATTCCACGTAGGCGTCCAAGAACTCCATGTTGTGGTGGTGGTCGATCATCACCATCAGGTGAGACCGAGGAGTCATGCGCAGGTTGTTCTTCTTCTCCATGTTCATGCTGGGAACTTTCCACTTGAAAGTCCTCCTCGTTCTCTTCCTGCATGTCGTCATCTTCATTGACATAGGCCTCGTCAGTGGCTTCATCTTCATACAGTCGGCTCACTGCCTGAAAGATGGCATCACATAGGCCTTGTTGGTATGATCCCGAAGCTCGGGCTCGATTGCCAATCTTTGGACTGGAACCCTCAATGGGCAGGTGCTCATGATTTCCTTGGCAAAGGACAGACATCTCTTGGGCAGGCTGGAAGGCAAACCATCTCAGTCGTGTAGGCTTCTTGATCAGTTGCCAAACGCCTTGATGATCAGGAAAACGGGTGTTGAACTCACACTGATCCAGCAGGCTCTCATGGCCATCTGCCTCAAAAGATTTCATAGTTCTTGTTTTCCATGAAAGTGCATAGCGAGGATGCTCCAGGCCAGCATGTCGTCCTTCTCGTTTCTGTTTCATGAAGCTCTTCTTGCACATGGTCAGGTGGGTGGCTTCCAAAAAGTCACGCTCAGCTTCAAGGGCCTCGATCTGCTCCAAAGTGTGCAAGTTGAGGTTTTGAAGCGTTGACCACTTCTTGCAAGGAGGGGCATACCAAATGAAATCAGGGCATTCTGCATCTTGTAGTTCCAGAAATGCACGGCGTGTTGCCGCAACTTCAAAATCCCATCCATTGGCAATGTCAAAAGTTCTGACAGTCCATCCATTCTCTGCAAAAGTCTGGGCAAGCAAGGCGTCGCCACTGTAGACCTCCCAAAACGTTCGGCGGCCAGTTGTGTGGGCATTCAGAACTTCTTCCAAAGTTCGCCTTCTTTTGTTGCCCCAGGCATTGAAGTGCATGTACATGGACTTCAGCAACTTGTTGGTGATCTCGCGTCGAATGTCCTTGGGCTCAGTCAGCTCTGGGACCACGGCTTCTTCTGTATTGAAAGCCGATGTGCCAACATAGTTGAGGTAAAAGGCTTTCTCTGGAGCTTGTCGTCCAGTTGCGGTCAAATAGTCCAGCAGGGTGACATAGCTTGAAGTCTCCTGGTTGTTCTGCAAGTAGTTGAAGGTCTCGTCAGTGATGTAGTCGAAGAAAACTCCGGCTTCACCATCAGGATCTTCAGCAGCGCCATCGTCAAGTTGTAGTAGATATTCACCGCGCTCGCCAACCACTGCAGGTTGCCAATCATGGCTCAGGACAGAAATCTTGTTGGTGGCGAAGTCAGTCTTCACTTGCAAAGCTGATAGAATTGGGCGACCAATGAGCAGGGGAGTGTCCCCTTCAACCACGAAGCACTCCACATAGCCATGTTGCTTGTGCACATAGACAGGCAAACGAACTGACCATTGTGCTTCACGGCGGGCACCACCTCCAAAAGCAAAGACCTTGTCCGTGGGGTGGAACAAGAATCTGGAGGTTTTCACTCCACGCTCACCCATATGGTCAATCACCTTCATCAAAGTGTTGTGCCCAATCACCATACTTGATGCTCCACCATCTTGAATCCCAAACCAACCTTTCGAGCTCAAATGAGGAATGCCTTCATCTGCATGCATGGCCGTGTCGGTCACCATCATCGCATCGGCTGTCTTTGTCCTCTTTGAGGGAGAGCCGGAAGATGCTCCTTTCGAGACTGGTGATCCGCTTGGGCATTGAGCTGCAAGGTGTCCAGCTTTGCCACAGATGAAACAGTTGGCAGATCCCCCAAAGTAGGCTGTAGCCCTTGAGGCAGGTGAGCCCTTTCGAGGTGGATTGGAACTTTTTCCTCTGCCCTTTGAACTTGACCCTTTTGATTTTCCTTTTCCTCTTGACTTCATCTTGCCTTTGCCATGACCAGGAGAAACTGGGTGTTGTTGTCCAGAACTGCTCGGTGATGCATCCGGCGCCAAGGCAACCACAGGATAGTATCCACGAGCTGCACGAAGGTTTGCAAATTGACGTCGAGCGTCAAGATAGGCAGCATAGGCTTCCTCCATGGCACCGTCGAAGTCACCAGGGTTTTCATCGTTCTGGTAGTAGCCATCCTCAGTCTCCTCAGCAGTTTGTCCATCCCATGAGGCATCATAGTCGCCTTCAGCAGCGTCCTCATAGTAGGCCTCCTCCGCGTCTTCATACTCATTGGCATAGTCCTCCTCAAAGGCATCCATGTCATCAAGCTCATAGGTCTCCTCAGCGTTGTAGGCTTGATGTCGTCGAGGCCAACGTTGATGAAGTTTCGCTGGAGTGGCATTTGCTCCCCATCGCACATCGCTTCTGCCTTTATAGTCTTGACCAAACAAGTAGTACAAGGATTCTTCTACCTTGTTCTCTTCCAGGCTGGTGCAATGAGTTTGAACCATCTGCCGCTGCTCATAGGTCAAACTTGATCTCCGCAGCAAGAGCCATCCACTGATGCTATCTGGGATAGCTATCTTGTGCTTCTCCAGTTCTCGGCGAGCTTCTCGATGATCAGCGCAGTATTGCAGTAAGCTTTGGTCACCACGGCGAGTAGATCCATAGAAGAACTTCTCCAGGGCTCGTGGCATCTCAACGCGATCATCATATTTGAAGCATCGGTCCAACTGGGCTAGAACTTGCTCGAAGCCGTCAGCCTCATCAGCCACCTTGTCCACAAGATGCTCAACCTGTCGCCAGGAAACGCCTGTCAGCGACGTAAGCAAATTCAAGGTAGCTTCTTTCGGCTTCTTCTGGAGATCCAGCTTTTTCTTGTACAAGCAGATTCTCTGATGCCATTCTTTGTAGTCTTGGGGGCGATTCGAAAACAATGGTATGTATGAATCCTTTGTTGCGTCCCCCACAGGCGCTACAGATCCAGCAGCTTGGGATGACATAGGTCTCGGCAAGAAGGATGTTGGTGTCCAGGCTGTAGGTCCCAAAGTCCCAGGCAACGGAGCAGACGCTCCGCTACCAATGTTGATTAGGTAGCTGCAAACCCCAATCAGTCCCACCGTCACACGAAGTACGGCTTGGCCTCTGCAAAAGGAACGCGGCCTTTTTGGACCGCACAGCGTGCCATCCGGCATTGCTCTAGAGTTCTCCCACCCTTGAGCCAAAAGAAAGGCAGGTGGAAAACATTGAATGGTCAATTGAGTGACACGCAATTCACAGTTATGATCACCATCAATCCTAGTCAGCCTAGTTGAATTATAAACCAAGCAATTCCGAACTGGGGCACATAGATTCAATCATCCCATTGATATTTTCCATATTGATGATTATGTGTCCTGAAAGATTTTTCCCCCCAAATAATCCCAACTTGACCAAGATCATGATCTACAAGACACAATCCATTGACAATCATCATCTCCCCAATTTTACCATGAAAATCCCCTCCGCCCCCCACGACTAACCCAAGCGTCTTTCGCCCTCCTTCGCCTGCATGGGGCTGTGGATCTTGGACTCCGCCGAGCCATCACTGAGGATCACCTGATCCACGCAACTGGACAAATCATGGGAAAACATCGCCTTTTTTCAAGCGGTCCCCACCCTGACACACTATTCTGACATAGTTTGTTGACATACCATCTGGAAGTACATATGGCATATACATGTGTAATATGTATATATATATATTATATACACATACATATATATATATATATCTTTATTTATATATATATATATATTTATATTCTGACATTCTATCTGACAACTTAAAAATCTAAAGACCATCACCCGGCAGGTCGGAAAAAAAAAAACCTAAAATTTGGAAAAAACAATCATAATTACAGGCCATCTGGAGAGGATTCCCCTTTAACAACCATCAGTCATAGTGGCCTGGCGGTGAAGTCTTGACGCGGCAACTGTCACTGGAGGACTGGAGGACTGTCCATCTGGGAAACCCGATAAATAAACCCAAGGAGGAACATGGGTGAACTATCCCCAAGTATGGGGACAATGGTGGGATTTGATGGAAAAAACAATGTGGTTAATCAAACTTTAGCAAATTAGCATTCATCATTGGCTTCACCAAATGAGGATGGCTGACACCTCGATTGGTCGGTAGCTATCTTCCATAGCAACCTGACAAATTGCCGGAAGCTGTTGGTCTGGGCAAAATCCACATATTTCAGGTTGTTCGACAGCCCGCCTGGTAGTTGCCATCCGCCACTCCGAAGGCTGTTCCAAATGGCATCACAGTATAGCCTGGACCTGCTACCCGAATTGGGGTCCAATTACTTGGAAAATGGACATTGGCGGATTGATGAAAATCTAGGTTGTTTATCGTCTACCCTCCGAGAATCAAATGTGGCAATGGAAATTCCACCATTTTCCCATTAAAACCTCCATTGATATCCATTTATAAGGATTTGTCCAATGCCAGGATTGATTCCCAAATTACATTTGGTTTTTGACATTATATAATGAGCCAGTCAAAAACCGCTTTACATCAGAACATAGTGGGTTAGATAATCCTCATGGCACACCAAAAATCTATAATGAAGCCATCAACTTCTGTGGCTACCTGTGAATGAAACGAAGCTTTGAAACCAATGACTTAACATTACTTAACCGTTTAAAAACCACCATGATTGCGGGTCATATCACCATGAAGTCAAGGTTATCTGGAAAATATTTACCCACACAAAATCCCCATTGATCATGTCCCTTCAAAGGTTCACATCTCAATCAATGTTTGGAAAACCATCACAGCCACCGTGGTAGAAGCGATTGTGTGTATAGCATTTATAAATGGGTAATATTATATGTACTTACATGATTCCTACATGGGTGCGGCATAGTATGTCATGATATTCCAAATCAATCCGAAAATAGGGCGCGGGCGCTCCCCTATTTGATGGCAAGTGACCATTTTCGACTATGTTCCCTAGTATTTTGACATTCGGAGGTGCCTCCCCCCATTTTCAGACATAGTCTGCAAGCACAATCCCACCTTCCTTGGAGCTTTCGTATCCTTCACCCAAGCGTCCCAACAGACCGGTAGGGCCGGCAGGCACATGGAAAATAGGTGAATAAATTCAATAAACACACCCATCCATCTATCTGTCGGTCTATCCATCTATCTCCGCTTTATGTTGAAAACATGTATCTATCCATCCAATGAAATCAGTGTCTACCAAAATACTGATAAGAGAGAGAGAGAGATATATATATATACATAGTCATCCTCGAGCAGATAGAATATGGAAATTACACAATATCTTAAAAAGGGAATATGGTTGAAAAATCCATATTCTATGTACTTCAGGATCATGCATAATCACTGTACTGTCATATGATTAGTAGTATGTATATTATATATATAATGTTGTATGCATATGATATGATGATAAAATGTAAATTCATTTCTGTACTGTTACTGGGAGAACAAAAAGCAGAGGTCTCTTTGCAAGAGACAGCCCCAAACAAAAAAACAAATCCTACCCCGTCCTGAGGCGTTCACCAGCAGCAGGGCAGCTTTCGCCTTGCCCACATAGGTATCCATCACCGCCACCTGGGCGTTCCTGCGTCATGCCATACGTCGCACTGACAAGTTTCAACTACTGCGCCATGTTTAAGTGGACTGGTCATCGCATATGATCTCAATAAAGTTTCAAGTCCTGGTGTAAAACATGTTTTCAGGTTAGCTGAGATGCTTTGCCCAGGCGATGCATTATTAAGAATAGAAGAATAGCCTAATCCTGAATCATGATCTTGAAATTAAATTGGCACCCTCTGGAAGGCTTGGACTACCATTTATCACCGTAGCTATGATCATGCAAGTTGCTTCCAGTCAGTATTCAGTTGGAGTTTGGGCAAATGGTCTTCCAGTGCATCCAGGGATGATATTCCCAAGATGGAATCGGATGGAATTATTCAACATGTCGGATGATCACAATGACTCGGATCATCCACAAGGACAAAACATGGCCCTAAAGTCCAATTGTATATCATGATGTTCCGCACTATAAAATCGCAGAAAAAAACACAAAAAACGGACATGGCCCCTAGCAGTAGTTATAACATGTTACGAATTTCTCTGCGGTTTATAACCCACCATACAACTATATCATTCATCACCACAAACCCAACAGTTTTATCCAGTTATCCGGCGCTATCAACCATGGCTAGCTGGTACCCATCGTCTTTTCGGACGCGTCATCCAGCCTCGAGCTTGCGAAGAGATGCGACTGAAAGGCCACAGCGTCGCTTTCTGCGGCCACGGATCTAAAAGGGGGAAGGCCAGCTAGGCAAAATAAATTGACACAAAAACAAAGTGGTTGATATGTGTATATATATATAAATATCATATCATATATATATATATATATACATGTGATAGCTGGTTAATGGCTAGTTATAGGTGATTTATCCGGAATTTATGATATTTTATAGCAGTGAAGAAAAACGTCCACTTTACTGTTAGACACATGGTACGTAGATGTTGGAGCAACGAGATTGTGCATATCAAAATGGTTGTGGGCCCAAAATCATGTTTACTGTAAACATAGATGTTTGCAACAATTGTAACAAAATCATACAAATTCTATATTGTTGAATATGGCTGAATGTTAGCAATACATGTCGGAAAGCAACTCACACATCAGCAGGATTTACTAATCAAAAATCGTTTTGGGGTTTGCTTTAAATGGACAGACGATTTGGCCAACAGGCAGCAGGATGTCCAATATGTTGGCAGACTCTTGGGGCCGTAGGTGCCAGACATGCATGGTATCGCCTATAAAATGAAGGTGTCATTGTACTGAATAATTCAAGGAAAAACAACATGAAAACCATGCAGAATATGATGGGCCAATGGGATTGCGTTAACGGATGGGCCAATGGCCAGCAAAGCTCAGGATCTAAACCTCGAAACTGGCCAAGGGGCTTGCATCTTGACGTTGCACCTCAGCTCCAGAGTAGTTTCAGCCCGGTACCGGGTTGGTGGGTTGGAGCACCTCCACAAATCTCGTTGAAGTTTCCACCATGATTTCACGTGAACAGCTCATGCCATAGGGATTGGTTTTATAATGATCACTGAGAGCCCCTGGGCCAATTTTATGCTGGGGGAGCTCTAGCTGAGTTGCTTGGGACAAATGCTTGTATGCCGGCAATCCATCTTGAAGGTCTTCAAGACACCATTAAAACAGGCGGATGATGTTATTGCACATAGCCTAGAAGTCAGAAAAAATAGCGGGCAGATGCTGTATCCCCAACTCTTGCAAAACCGTATGAACCTATCAAATCCAGGTTTACCGATGGTTCGAATGGTTCAAAATGAGACGGTTCTGTGCCACACCCAATCCACACACACAATCACAGGCCAAGCCGGAAGACCACGATGTAGAGCATGGCATCGTACCTCAGTCCACCGTAAAGGTGCTCCAACAATTGCTTGGGAACCATTCCCCTTTTCAAAAAAGAATCACCATTCAGAGAACCAATCAACTACAACCCCATATAGAGATTTCTAGGCATCAATGCACTATGATTTGCAGACAACCCAATCTATTCCCTCATCCGTTTCAAAAACATATTCGGAAAACCTCTTTCCCAAATCATGCTCAACTTCCAAATCCTCCCATCTTCCAATTTTGGCCCCCCAAAACCGACCTTTCCTAGCCAGGTGACTGAGGCAGGGCATCCACCGTGAAGCTACTCATAGGCAGCTGATCCGCCACAAAATTCAGACGGTCGCCTACCCGCAGCGACTGCTTCGAAGCCACCTGCTGACACTCCTGGCCGTGCCAGGGTGACCTAGGCATACGTTGGCCATGATGTTGTAATATGGTGAGTATCCCAAGGCTAAATAACATCGATTCTATAATTCTATATGTGTTTGAAGTTTTTTAAAACAACTTCATAAATAGTACGTGTGCACATCCAAGTGGAGAGGAACTTGGGAAGATGCGTGATATAAGATAAAATAATATAATCTAATCTAATATAATATAATAAATATATATAATAGTATATATATATTATATATTCGAGACATATTTGGCGATTTGATGGAGAAAAAAACTAGTGATCCAAGCAAGAGAAATAGGGACTTCAGCCAGTGAAATGGGGATGAGAGCAGCCAAAGAAGTGATTTTTCAAAGAACAAAGGCTGGTTCTCAAATGAAATGCTGGTCATTTTTCAAAACAAAACTGATGTAACACATCAAACACATACATCAGAATCAGAGTGATGGTGGTGCGCCAACGAAACGGGCGCATCAAACTGGTCAGAACGCTCAGGCCCTTGGGGGCCTCAAAGTTGATCAGTTGACTCTCTCTGGAATTATGAGTGGCACCCCCCCCCAATGAGTATGATTATGATGGGATTATGATTGGATCTAAACCAGATTGTCAATTGTGAATGGGAACTATGAGTATGGTTGGGGTCTGAAAAGTGGTGACCCATCATTGGATCAAAACATACCGAATGGATTTGCAAAACAAACAAATAACATGTCTAAAAAGTTGGCCAATTGATCGTCATCATCATCATCATCATCTTCATCTTCTTCCTCTTTATAAGTCTATGAAAGCATGCTGGCACCGAACTTTCTTGGGGAACCATTCCGGTCCCGTATACAAGCCATGATCTCCAGCGACCTCACAATGAGGCGTCTCTAAAACTGGATGTACCTCCTAATTTGCCAAGTGCATCTGGGAAAAAAAGGGAGTCACACCCAAACTCCAATGGTTAATCATCACGTTTCCCATCAAAACATGCTAACATTGATGGTACACGTCACATTTTCATACACAGGAGTTTGCCCACTATCCCATTGCCCTCTGGTAATTTAACCATGGCTCCGGAAAATCACCATTTTCAATATAGGTAAACCGGTAAACCAACCATCGAACATTTGGTTCCCTTATATAAATCCATTTCCAGTCATAATTCCTTAGAAGGTACGGCTGGCTCCATACGGTAATTTGGCAAACCGAAGAATGAGCCATCGACAAAATCACAATAGATGGACGGTAAATAAAATCCCCAGTCATATAGGTTAACGGCATTTGGTTGCCCACATTATGTCGAATTCCCAAGAGCTTTTGGACCACGCGTGGAGCACCTTGTAAGCCAATCTGCTCGTCAAGTTTTGGCCACCCTTCTCCACCCGGAAGACCTCACCAACTGAGGTTTCAGCTCCCATTCTCAAGAAAGGGATACACCAAAAAAGTGGGACACATATATCTGTGTGCATGTATGTTGATTCCAGACTTGTCTTACCTCTTTTTGCATAATATGTAGCTACAAAATATACTATGAGAACTAGCACATAACGGTTTAACACAAACTGTATAAGCGTGTGTGCTTGTATTGGTATTTTCTGATAGGGGTTGCCAGCCAGTGAGGCAAAAACAACATATCATAGGCACGACGACTGGACATGCCTCCCGGTTTCAACTCAGGATAAAACAACCAGCTGGCCAAACATGCAAAGGTAAACCTTGTAACGTGGTAAAGCCAATGCCATAAATTCCGAAAAATCTACCATGTGGGCATGGTTGGGAACTGTTTCTACTTGGTTTTACCTCACATTGTTTCATCTCAAATCCGTCAAGACAGCCTGCCTCGGCTCCAGGGTAAGCATTGCAAAGTCGCAGGCGGTGCTGGTATTCCACGGGTTTCAAGAAACTCCCGTGTTGCTTAACCTGGTGTCGCTTCAGAAAAAATGGTTACGTCTGAACATAGAGCAACGAATTCCCATGCAGTTTATTAGTCTCCCATCACCCTACCTGTTTAAACATACTTGAATGACATGTCCTGGACAAATTCAGATGGTTAAGATGGTTCAGGCATATCCTAGTATACGCATTGTAGACAGTTGCAATGCAGTATTTTACCCCCTTTTTCTTTATATATATATAAATATACACATAGATATATATATCTATATATAAAAAGGAATCTGTATATGTATGTATGTATGTATGTATGTATGCATGTATGTATGTATGTATGTATGTGTGTGTGTATGTGTGTGTGTGTGTGTGTATGTGTGTGTATGTATGTATGTATGTATGCATGCATGTATGTATGTATGTATGTATGTATGTATGTGTGTGTGTATGTGTGTGTATGTGTGTGTATGTGTGTGTATGTGTGTGTATGTATGTTTATGTATGTATGTATGTATGTATGTATGCATGTATGTATGTATGTGTGTATGTATGTATGTGTGTATGCATGTATGTATGCATGTATGTAATGACCCTGAATAAAGCTAAATTTTCCCAAAATAAATTATAAACTACCCCTAAATAAAGCTAATTTTTTTGGGCCCCAACCCCAGATTTGCCAAGATGGGGGTGAAAAAAAACTACAAAATCAATACTAAATCAATACTAAATCCATGGCATGAATACTAAATCAATACTAAATCCATGAGATGAATACTAAACCAATACTAAAACAATTGTTGGGAATACTAAACCAATACTAAAACAATTGTTGGATTCCTGTTTTTTTTGAAATTTTGTTTATGTATTCGTTTTAAATTGTGGTAATTTAAAACCAATACATACAAACAAGTTTTTAACTTTATTTGAGGTAAAAGAGGGGGGGGGCCAGGTTTATAAATCAGAGGTAGACATTATGTATGTATTTATGTATGTAACATGTATGTATGTATGTGTGTATGTATGTATGCATGTATGTATGAATGAATGTATGTATGTGTATATATAAACAAATGTAAATATATATATATATAAACATATACGTAAATGAATATATATTTATATATATAAATACAAACCATAAAGATAAATAAATATAAGTATATATATATACAAACATACATATAAATATATATATATATATATATATATTTGTATATATATATATGAATATTTATATTTACACATGAAAAAATATAGTATATACGTTTATTTGTTCATTCATTTATTTATTTATCTGCCATTGTTTGTGTGCTAAATCCCCTCAATTTGAAAACATTCTCAAATGAGATGCTGGGTCAGCCTAAACATCTAAAATCATACGCCTGAACCTATGAATGTATAATATATATATAATTATGTAAATGTGTCGCCTAAATGGCCTTAAACTCTTGCTTTCTTCAATGCGCAAATGTCACTTTGCAAAGATCTCAACTGTCTATCACTCCTCAGCCTCGCCTCGGCATTGAACTGGGTCCCTGCGACTGAGGTGAGCAAAGCGCTGAAGGTGAAGCTGAGCACGGCCAACATCCTCCCAGACGGGATCCCCAGGCCCCATCATCTGGTCATTTTCTCCAGAGAAACCTGGGATTTTGGAATAACTGTTGTCTATAATTGATCTTGATTGGGACGTGCATCGAAAATACTGTGCATGGCCAAGATTAGATCCCCATAAGCGGTTTTCTCTTCTATAGGAAAAGATTAATTAAAGATCATTAAACTATAAAGTAGTCATCCAAGGTTTCTGCCAACATTCCCTGATGGATTTGTCCAACAAAAATGCCCCAAAGTCAAATGATTGCAGTCCAGCGACCCCGGTTTAGTTTCACCCATTCCCTGCAGATTTTTAACAGTCATGAGCGTGTCTTTCCCACACTACGTTCCTGGTTGGAAACAAACACACTAAAAAGCAAACTCCAACGTTGTAAGGGCCATCCAAGACGAGACCATCCAAGGTGGGAGGGCCACTCACGACACAGACCCGGCACAACTATGCCTGCACTTCGTTGGGCTGTGGCGAGCGTCGCGGAAAACAAACGTCGCGACTTGAGCCACATGCCAGGCTTGGGAGCTGCCAGCAAAACTGGGAAGCTGCCGTTGGGGCCATGAAGAAAGATCCATGAAAACTTACTGGGTCATCTGATATGGCACTGGAAAACAGTCCATCATCCACAATTAATGCGCAAAGATAATGATAGCAAGAACCTGTGTGAAATGGCTAATTGACCCCATTACCTGTTTGGATTGCATTTTTCAAGACATCTCCCTATGCATTTTGGAACGTGACACATATCTCTCTCCCCCGATTTATCCACATACATTGTTGGCGATTCATGTCAGCTATCCTCATGAAATCACACCCTCCCAGCAAACATAAATGGTTGGGTGCATCATCAGTCACTTCGTTACGATTTTGTTTGTTCACAAACCACCACTTCAATTGGACAACGTGGGAGACTAAATCATAGACAATCCCAGCAACTAGCCATTTGGACATTTTTACAGCATACCAAATAAAGATATTTATCTTTGACAAAGCTTTCTCACACCAAGAGTGACCACCAGAACTATCAGCTCCTATCCACTTTCATATTTTTCATCGCTCACAGCTAGTGGATGGAGGCTATGTTAACGGCACACCCAAACTCACACAAAAACAAGGAAACAAACCAAAAAAAAAACAATGGGTTATTAAGACGTTTCCCTGATGAATATAGAGTAATTTCCTATAGTTAGCTTCCATGTAATCACGATTTGTCCTGGTTAAGTATGGTTAAGTACTCACTTTACATATCCCAACAGCCACCCCAATTAACAGCAACAAGGATGTTGTTGGCGACGGGCATCCAAGGGCGGCACCCAGAAACCAAAGAGGAAAACAGTTAGCAGCCTTGGCGTCACCATGATCACAAGAAAACATATTTCAACCAACAGTTTGCTGTTGAACATGGTGAACAAATAAAATTGATTCACCTGTGAAAAGGTTTGGTGATTCTCGTTGATTTTCCACAGCTATGTGCGTTTACCCGAGGGTACGCAAGAAATGGTGGTACTTGAGAGTAATGTATATGTTGTCATATTTTAGACAAGTCAACATGGGCGCTATACAAAATAATGATTGATCCTTCGTCTTTTATGGGTACGTTTGCGAAATTTTGTGCAAAATGGCTCTTTACATCTGTTGATTCAACCCCGTCTGGTTGCTGCGGCTAAGTCATGATTTCATTTGAGGATGCATGCCAGTTACTAAGTTGGGAATGCCTACATTGTTACATCCCAGTTGTGCTTGCCATAGTCCCAGTTGCATACGGGTTCAAAAGTACATATCACATATATGAATAGGATGCACATCCAAGCAAACAGTGATTGGTTGAAATTCATTCCCCCAGCAACAACCACCACTAATGGAAGGCCGTTTAAGCCCTCGGATGGTATTGGTACTGGCGCTCCAACAGCCAACACCCTAAGGCTACCCAAACAGCAAGAGGATTAGTGAGTGCTCAGCTGAAAATGGTGATGATCAGTTTCTTCCGCCGCATAGTGGCTAATCATCCGAGAGAATCCCCTGCACCACCATACATCCAGCCAGGTTTCATGTTGGAACTCAGGCCCATTCACAACTCAAATTTAATCCATGCTCACCTTCACCCAAAATTTGGCAACTCAATAAACCATTCACTTTCTCGTGGATGTATAACCAATATTTGTTGTACTATATATTGTGTTTTTTTTTGGCAAAACACGATCCTAACGGAGATCAGAGACCCGTAGCCATAGCTGGTACATGTCTCTGCGGTCACGCTCAACAGCATGCTTAGCCAAAGCTGGTATCGCTGCAGAGCCGAGAGAGTGCAGCCCTTCATCCCAAGGCAGGATAACTACGCCCCTTGTGGACAATTCGCCGTTTCAGAAGCCTTCTCAGCATCAAAATACACCAGCCTCACAACATTCATGTAATCCTGAACACTGCGTTAATTCTCCCAAGGCAAGATTGAGTAATTTTGTCGCAAGATGACAGAAAGGAACGACAGCATGGTTGGCGCTGCATCATACATAGCCTCACCACAACCATTCACAGTCGCCATGATGGAAACTACAATGATAATGCCTTGACCAGTGGCGTCTCGCCGTGCAGCAGAAACTGTTTCAGTCCTCTCAATCGCAGTAGCCACATACGCTGCAATGAAGGCGAATGATCCAGCTACATATATATATATATATACACGTATAATCCAATTACAGATAGGACGAGATAGAAAGGTAAGTAACTTGCCACTAAAAAGTGGGCGAAGACATTTTTGTCCCACCGTGTTTTTCGATCTTGCTTGTCCCCATCTTGTCTTGAGTTAAAACTTATATTGGAAACTATGAAGTACTAGCTAACATAACAATTATATAACGATCTCCCATCTTACTTAGTTCCCATTTTAACTATCACATTTTTCAGAAAGATAGATAGATGAATGTTAGATAGATAGACAGACAGACAAACAGATAGATAGATAGATAGGTAGGTAGATAGATAGATAGATACAAAACTACCGAATGTCCCACCTTAACTACCAGCTACATACCAAGAAACACCTAACAGAAACACAGTTCCGCAGGACATTCCAAGCAACGCATCTTCCAACTCATCCTCCGAGAGGCCTCTGGGATGTTTGTTTTCAGCAAGGCCAAGGCTTCACGGCCGGGGGGTTCTTCAGAAAGGTGGGCATAGTTCACCAGGAAAGTGTTGGTTATTATGGGATAAATGACTAAGAACAATGCGGGGTTTAACATGCTTTAACCCATGAATCAAATGGTTTAATGGGTACAAAATGGGAAATCATATTTGATATCATGGGAATATGATGGGATGCAATGTAGCATGTTGGGTTCGTGCAAAAATGTTGGATCCTATGTCAAAGCAACTTGCTGATGAATCTCCAAATTTCGGGGTGCCCTAGGTTCACTCAAACCCATAGTGCCTCTATGCCTAGAACTTTGTATAACACCCCCCAAAACAGATTAAACACAAAGTGATACCCTAGGACAAATAACGGTAATTTGCGCGTCTATCGTGTTGCGATTCTTTGTGTTTGGTTCTATTTAGTGTAGGGCAACCTGGAGAGCTTATGGCTGTTGCAACTTGAAGGATCGTGACTATGTTAGGGTTCCCTGGAAGAAACCAAGTTCTTACATGCAAAACCATGCAGACTATGCAAGCACACAAGTAATAAAAGATAGCCTTTGTCAATTGCATGCTACTTTACCGGAGAACCACATGTTCATGAAATCAAAATCCTTAAGTGTCAATGAACTATGGTGTTCCCTTATCATGACTAATTTGGGACTCCAAAAACCAACTTTCAGCGTAGCATCTGGAAACAGCCAAAACATGCAGCATTCACAATTTACAGCACAAAAAAACACCCGATTCACTTACTCTTCAACCAACATTTGCCCACATGTTTACCCATTGTCAGGTATGTTGGATACAACAAATGATTCCCACCTTCTGTGGCTTGTTGTCGATTCTTGCCAACTTCTCCATCAAACTCCCGGTTTTGCTAATCCATGAGCCCATATCTGTGATTCACAAAAGACCGAAAAACATGTTTGGAATGCTAGAATCCCCCTAATAAGTATCGTTTGGGTCTGTCCAAGGATTTGATGCTGAATCATCATGTGCTCCGTTGAATGGCCGGTATGCCCTATCTTCAGACAGACCTGTTTCCAGTAAGATCTCTGCGTTGCTGAACATCATCTGTCGGCGGCTTCCGGGCTAGGCTTCCAGGCCGAAAGCTAACGTGTCCAGTGCCTAAGGTGCAGCAAGCCCCACAGGTAGCCCCACATCAAGCAGTCATCAGTGGTCATCAGAAACATTGTCCAGCAAATGGGGTGGGTTCACCTAGTTAAAAATGGGATAAGCACTTACAAAGGGAATTGGTTGCAACCATTATCAATAGACAATGTTTTCATCATGTGCCTATTGGTTGTAAATGATGATGGGGAAAGGACATCCAGGGTCTTCATCCAAATCTTCGGTCACTGTTGGATACGCTGCAATTGCGTCCTTGGAGTTTTGAAATCGGTGAGCTAAGCCCCCATTGCTGCAAATAAGTTGCCCTGCCAACCAAGACAGACGTTGAAAAAATGCAAAAACTATCTACCAACTGTGGATTTTCTGCATCTACTGGTATTTACTCAAGGGTGTGCTGAAGTATCGTTCAAATAGAAATATCAAGTCGTGGGAGATATGGAGGTGTGTCTGTATTTGTAATGCAGCTAGCAGCTAGGCCAGAATCATTTGTGCGTCCAACCCACCTGGAAGAACAAAATGCGGCCATCGGAATTCCGAGTAAAATTGGGAGCGGGCAATGCTTAATATTCCATGAAAACCAGCTTTTGTTGGCCTCAAATGGCCATGGTTTTTGCATAACAACCTCCTCCAAAGTCAAGGGATCCCAAAGCTATGCCCTTCTTCGTGCATTGCCTTCCATTCGCTGGGCTAGGTCATCCTAAGTCCACATCTGTTTGCTGGACAACTATCCATGTTGGATCATTGCGGCTGGCTAAATCACATTTGTAATGTTGACAGTTGGATAGATAACTACGTCATGCTCAATCACTCACCCTATATATATTTTTATTCTATTTGATGAAATCACTATGTTTGATGGTTACAGTAATTAGATCCTACTCACATTATGCGAAGTTGACAAAACTCTTCCGTTGGGAACCGGTGGCAGCGACGCAACGAGGCGTTTGAGAGACGGACTCCCAGCCACATAGCCACATCCTGGCGACCGGGCAAGGTGTGCCTCGAAACGGCCAAACAACAACAGATTCATCAGAGCTAACGATGCCAAATGATATCCACATGTTTGGTCCGGATTTCCAACAAAATCAACTACTCTATATATATATATCTAATTGGATGGGAAACAGCACAAAACCCGGGTTGATTTGAATAAACCTTCGAATCGTTTGTTGGAAGGACGAAGGCATAGGTCCTAGGTGGAACACCGACTCAACGGGGCAACCTGCGTTCGCAGCTGGTACTCCAA